ATCGACACTATCCATCGTCTTTATTTCATTGGTGTCGCTCATTTATCATCTCTATCCTTGCTCTCTCGTTTGTCTCCGCAAGGTTCATCCTTCCTCGTTGCACTCCTTGCCTTGGCCCAAGTGAGAGGCAATCACTATCCCTTGTACTACCATTGAGAACAAGATAACTCACTGTCTTACCTTTACCTATATCTCAACTACCGATAACAATGCAGCCCACTACCTATACCTTACCACGAGATATGACGATCAAAATAAAATCGAATATCTTCAAGTTGTATTTCAAAAAGGTCTGAAATACCAATTGCTTTTTTTTAAATTATAAGAGGATATAGAATTTTTCCGAAGCATATTAAGAAAAAATATTCAACACCATGTGACGTTAAGGTACGAATCATATGATGTTGAGATGTTAATCATCTGATGTTAAGTGTTGAGATGTTAGTCATATTTGTTTTCTGCCACATTAATGAGCAAACTAAGAAGTCTCAAAACATCAAACTGATTTTTTTTTTCAAAACAAAAAATTAATAGAAAAAAACCCTCTTTCTATTTTGTCCTTAAATACATATATCGTAATCTTAATCTTTAATCATGATGACAGCAAAGGGACACAAAATTATGTATAATCTTAATCTTTAATCATAATTTTATTTAGAACAATCAACCCATTTTCTTAATCATCGTAGTGAATGATCCCTTTAGTAGTCGCGAATCCACGTTGACGTCGTGCCTTCATCGCTTATATTACAGTCTATTATAATCTAGATTTGGCAAAAAGGCCGAGTGCAAGTAATCATGAACATCTTCTGACTTCCTATCACAGTCTCATGGAATTCCACAAACGATGATTCCTAGAATGATGCGAGAGGTATGAGATATGTGGAGGATGTTAATCCCTCGATTAACCGACCAAAACCAACAAGAGAGCATCGACCAACATAAATACTCCACCTCAATCCGCCAAAGTCTCTCCTCCTCTCAATCTTAAACTTCATGAGCTGATATGATCCTTCATGGAGAATCCTCCTCTCAATCTTTACTTATATTTTAAAAAATTATATTAATATTATGAAACATCTATGTATGATTACCTTAACGTTATCGATTTTATCAAGAAAAATATGATAATAAAAGATAAAAAAAAAATAATTTTAATATTTTAATTGATAGTAACGAATGACATTAGTTGTGACAGACGATGCTAGTGGTGATAGACGATGACACCAATGGGGAGGCCATAGGTAACTATTATGGATGAGAAAAATAACGATGAGATGAGGACGGTTGATGATACAAATGCCAAGCGACGAAAAGATTGTCGATGACTATTATAGATGAGGAAAACGATGATGAGATATGAGGACGGTTGCTGATGCAGATGTCGAGTGACGAAAGGATCGTTGATGCAGATGCCAAGCAGCATCGCTTGGCATTTGCTTCAGCGACTCTTTCATCGCTCAGCAACTGCATCGACGTCAATGCAAATGTAAAACAACGAAAGGATCCCTCGATAATTGTGTCAACGTCGACACAAATGCATAGCAGTTCCCACCTTTCATCGTCGCTCTCCTCATCCACAATAGTCATCCGTGGCTCCTAACGATATATTATCGTCCGTCACCATTAATTGAAACATTAAAATTATTTTTTATCATTTAATTTTATATTTTCGTTGATAAAATCGACGATGTTTGGATAAATAGACCTAAACGTTTTACTTTCATAATTATAGAAATATCAATATAAAATTTTAAAATATAAAAATTAAAATATCAAGATAAATATTTATAAAAAAAAAAATTTATTTTGTCCGATCCTTGAAATTCTGCGGTAATTCGTAGGTCGTGTTCCGAGCAAGATTTTCCATAGCAAACTAAAATCCACAGACAAAAAACATAGATAAATAAGTAAAAAAAAAGGGTCGCTACCTTATCCAATGGCAAACGACTTCCGCCACGCAACGACAGGACAAGTGAGAAAGTTCGAGAAGACAAGCGAGTAAAACGTGTTGCGTCCAACCCTACTACTACCTCTAAACAAATTAATATATAAATAAATAAATGAAAATAAAACAAAATAAAGGACCTCGATGGACCCCGCCGCCACGTGACTCCCTCATCCAACCGCGTTGGTTGACATGCGAACGGTTCCGTTACACCTTACCGACCCTTTTCCCGTGTTCGATTCCGGTCACGGCTTATCCGCCCCCACTATTTGGCACGTGGCACGATCCAGGGGGCTCGCAGACCGCGCCGTCATCAACTAGATGCCCGGCGGCGGCCCGGCGGCTGCCATTTCACTGTAACAAATTAATAGAACTTTGCGGTCAAATAATCCGCGTTAAATTAGCCTAATCCGAATAATCTGTATCGGGAAGCAAATTAATCTTTCTGATAACATTAATTAATACCTACGTATGTATATAAAAATTAACGATAAACATGGAAATTACCAGAGGAAATATCTGAGAGCTGTGCGCGTCTGTCTCCCCTATCGCCACGCCCTCTTGTCCGGCCTCCTTCCTCGCTTTGTCCACGGCGGGGAGCGGGAGCGGGGGTCACCGGAACCGAGGGTTCCAGTTCATAGACAGGAGTACGATCAAAGAGGATGAACCTGTGGGCCGACGACAACGCCTCCATGATGGAGGCCTTCATGGCCGGCACCGACCTCGTCCATGGCTTCCCCTGGGCGACTCCACCTCCCACCCCTCCTCGGCCCTCCGGTATGGCCTCGTCCTTGGATCCTGGGAGGGCTATCGTCGGCCCTCCCACTCCCTCTTCTCCTCCGTCGGCGTTCTTCAACCAGGAGACGCTCCAGCAGCGGCTGCAGGCCCTGATCGAGGGGGCCCGGGAAAGCTGGACCTACGGCATCTTCTGGCAGTCGTCGGTGGATGCCGCCACCGGGACGTCCTTCCTCGGGTGGGGCGACGGCTACTACAAGGGCTGCGAGGAGGACAAGCGGAAGCAACGGGCCGCGAGCACCGCCTCGGCTGCCGATCAGGATCACCGCAAGCGCGTCCTGCGGGAGCTCAACTCGCTCATCTCCGGCGGCGTGTCCTTGGCGCCGGACGAGATCGTCGAGGAGGAGGTCACCGACACGGAGTGGTTCTTTCTAGTCTCCATGACCCAGTCCTTCGTCAACGGGGCCGGCCTCCCCGGCCAGGCCCTCTGCGCCGGCGCGCCCTACTGGATCGCAGGCGCCGGCCGTCTATCCGCGGCGTCGTGCGAGCGCGCGCGGCATGCCCAGTTGTTCGGCATCCAGACCATGGTCTGCGCTCCCGTCGGCTCCGGCGTGCTCGAGCTCGGATCCACCGACACGATCCTCTACAACCTCGACCTCATGGGCAAGATTCGCGTCCTCTTCAACTTCAGCTCCCGGGACGCGCCCGACACTGCGGCGGCCCCATCATGGCTCGCGCAGCAATCTGTTGCAGCGACTCCCGCCGCCGGCCACGGAGAGTCGAATCCACCGGTTCTCTGGCTCACTGACCCCTCCACGGTCGAGATCAAGGACTCCGTCTCCCGTGTCTCGACCTCCGTCGGCATCTCCGTCACGAAACCACCGATCCAATCCGACAGCAATCCTAGCTCAAGTATCCTCACCGAGAACCCAACCTCTGCTATGCAGATCCCAAAAGTCCACGACGACCACCAGCGACAGATCCACCAACTGCAGCATCAGAGCAGCTGCAGTAAACCGCAGGCCCAATCTTTCATGTCCAAAGAGTTCGATTTCTCCGGATTCGCCTCGAACGGCGCGGTCGCTCCCGCCCGCTCGTTCAAGCCGGAGTCTAGGGATATCCCGAGTTTCGCCGGTGGCAAGAGGGATTCCTCGCCGGCTCCTGTCGCCAGCAGCCTCTTCTCCCGCCAACAAGCTACCGCTGTGGCGGACGACAAGAAGACCAACAGATCCACGGGAGCGACATCCAGGGCGAGCAACGACGGCGAGGGGATGCTCTCCTTCTCGTCGGCTCCTGCAAGAGCCCCCTCCAGTGGCCAATTGAGGTCATCTTCCGGCGGCGTCCCCGATGGACCCGATTCGGATCAGTCCGAGCTCGAGCCATCGGTACGGGAGGTGGAGAGCAGCCGGGCGGTGGAACCCGAGAAGCGGCCGCGGAAGCGTGGCCGGAAGCCCGCCAACGGCCGTGAGGAGCCGCTGAACCACGTCGAAGCTGAGCGGCAGCGCCGCGAGAAGCTCAACCAGAGGTTCTATGCCCTCCGTGCGGTGGTTCCCAATGTGTCCAAGATGGACAAAGCCTCCCTCCTGGGCGACGCCGTCTCCTACATCAATGAACTCCGGTCAAAGCTGCAAGCTTTGGAGGCGAACAAGGAGGACCTGCAAGCACAGATTCAAGGCCTCAAAAAGGAGCGTGAATCCGCCCCAACGCAGCGGCCTGAGAGCAACCTTAAGACGATGAACGGCGGCGGTCGATGTCACGGGGTTGAAATCGAGGTGAAGCTACTGGGATCGGAGGCCCTGATCAGGTTGCAGAGCCAAAAGAGGAATCACCCAGCTGCTGTGCTGATGGCTGCCCTGCAAGACCTTGATCTGGAAGTGCATTACGCAAGCGTGTCGGTGGTGAAGGACCTCATGATCCAGCAGGCGACGGTGAAGATGTCGAGGCGGGTGTTCACGCAGGAGCAGCTCAGCTCTGTTCTCTACGCTAGATTGGCGGCTGAGGCCTTATCTAGTTGGTAGGTCAGTTTTGGTGGGGAACGCTAGCAAAAGCGGCTGGCTCTTACTGCCGCCATGGAGGTTTGTTGTTGTAAGCTAAGCCTCTGTCTTATGTTTGGTGTGTGTATATATGTATATATATATTACTGTTCCTCTGTAACTTGGTGGCAACAAAGAAACGGAGGAAAGAGAGGAGACTGGACTCACTGTGGTTGCCTCATGCACGGAGAGCAAGATGGTGGGCGTGGAGGAATAAGCTGCGATAACAAAGCTCCATTACTACGAGATACTGAAGACATCTAAACAAGTACATTGATGTAGCCATCGTGGCTTACGAGCAACTCCTCGAGAAGCAGCAGCACATCATGTTGATGGACTCCATATCTATCAAATCCCACGCGCAATGCGGTCACATATCCATAGCGCAAAGGCTCGCCAGAATGGGTGAATACCGCCTTATTATCGTAGAACATTAGACAGCCTTCGGTGTCCGGAAATCTATGCGCCGGGATAACCCTTCCCTCCGCCGCCGTAGCCGCCACCATGTTCTCCACCAGCACCATAGCCGCCTCCGGCACCCGTGCCACTTCCAGCCCCGTAGCCGCCGCCATGCTCACCGCCTGCTCCGTAGCCAACACCGCTGCCACCACCTTCCCCGCCACCATGGCCACCGCCATGTTCTCCACCTGCACCATAACCAGCTCCACCACCGATGCCACTTCCAGCACCATAGCCCGCACCATGCTCGCCTCCTGCACCATACCCGACACCACTACCTGAACCACCGCCACCACCATAGCCACCTCCATGCTCTCCACCAGCACCGTAACCGGTTCCAGCACCAGCACCCGCACCGCTTCCGGTACCATAGCCACCGCCATGCTCACCTCCTGCTCCATAACCAACGCCGGCACCACTGCCTCCACCACCGCCATGTTCTCCGCCTGCACCACCATAGCCACCGCCATGTTCTCCGCCTGCACCACCATAGCCACCGCCATGTTCTCCGCCTGCACCACCATATCCACCGCCATGTTCTCCGCCTGCACCACCATATCCACCTCCGTGCTCTCCGCCTGCACCACCATATCCACCTCCGTGCTCTCCGCCTGCACCACCATATCCACCTCCGTGCTCTCCGCCTGCACCTCCATAGCCACCTCCGTGCTCTCCGCCTGCATCTCCATAGCCACCTCCATGTTCGCCGCCTGCACCACCATAGCCACCTCCATGCTCGCCGCCTGCGCCACCATATCCACCTCCATGTTCTCCGCCTGCACCACC